TGTAAATTTCTTTTATTTTGTGATAACAATTCAAATAGAGCATCTTCGATAAAAATTCATATTTCGCGAAGACGAAACTTGTTTGACCACATGGCAATATTTTATTAAAGAAATAATAAGTGTAACAGATTTTTCTGACATTTCAATCGCTGACTCACAAAAGATACCATATTCTTAGATTATTAATTTTTTAAAACCAAATCTTTATAAACTTTGAGAAGATGACATATTTGAAGTTCTTTTAGAAGAGGACTTGAAGCAAACCAAATTAAACATGCTTTATAACTTGTGAAAACTTATATATGTTCCTGTTTTTTCATAAAAATAATCAGTAATACATTCTCTTACAATTTTCATTTTTTTAATTTAAAATATGAATTTAATGTTTTTAGCCATTTATCAAACAAAAATGTGCCTTTGAAATGTTAATTAAAAAAAATCATTGCATGACATAATTTTGGAATATTTCAAGCTTTGCAGCCGAAATGAACTGAAAAAAAAATAAATTTGTAAGTTGACGAATGCAAATTAAAAACTATCTTATTTTTAAGCAAATTGAAAACATCTCCAAATATTCTGAAAAAACTACCACGAAAATTCTTCTATTTATAGCTTTTCTACACTCGGTTCTCATTAAAAAGAATTCAAATTTATTTTTCCATCTAAACTACAGAATTAATAAGAATAATTTTGAATTACTTATGTTGAACTTTTTGAATTACACGTATTCGTCGCAGTTAGTAGAGGAAATTTAGCAATTCATTTTCCACCTCATAACAAACTTATCTAGTAAATCGCTGTCAACATTATTATTATTTATTATTATTATTATTATTTTGTATTATTACTAATCTACTATCTATTGCGAAAAAACGAGTTAGTTAAACTTATTGCAGAATGCACTGAAACTTGCATTATGATAATTGACCACAACGTTCACCTCTAATACAAACATGAATCTTTGTCTCAACATCTCACTCATTAATATAAACATGCAGCAATTTTTACAACTTACATAATTAACAGCAAGTCACTGAATATAAAACTTTAAGTGTGAAAGATATCATCATTTCCAATAAGACAAAACTTTTTTATCATTCGCGTGTGACCAATAAAATATGACACTTCTTTGAATAAGCTAAGTATATAAAGCTTTTGAGTTATCTATAAAACATTCTGCAGCATTAACATAATATACCATAACCGGCTGTTGAAAACAAATGCATAATTTATTAAAAAAATGAAACGAAATATTACAAGTACTTTTACTGATCATTTTGTTTACTTTTGTAACGGTGAATGCATATAGACTAATAAAATTATTATTATATTTTTTTCTTCTTTTTCGTTATCGATGAAACTAATATTGAAAATTTTTTATTTTTTAAATAAATAAATTGTTGTCTACTTATATGAGCTTGGTGATGAGACTATTTTTGTAATAACTGTTATTTAACATCATAAATAGATAGAAAATGATGGAAGTTGAAATGAATGCGCATTTCAGTAGGACGTAAAACTAGTTCTGATTACTTTATCCATCAATCATGGATCATTATGAAGAGAATTGCCGGTTATCCTATTACCAAAACATAACAAAGCAAACTAGTAGAAACGCATTTGTTTGGATATCTTGAGAAGACGAAGAATTGCAATTTTTTTTTTCAAACTTAGAACTACTGAAATCTTGTACAGTTTGTAACAAGCTATTTATTTCCAAATTTAATTACTGTAACTGACTTAACTAAAACTGACATCTATTAATTTACCTACGAAAGCTGAATCTATCATAATAACATTCCAAGGCTATAAATTGTTCAACATAATACTAGATAATAAATCTTAGCATGAAATAAATGGACTTAATTACTGAGGAAAAAATTTCACAGAACAATTTCAGCCAAACTTTTTTTGACAATTTAATTATCTTCAATTTCTATTTTTCTCTCCAAAACTAATTGCAGTCATTGTTAGTGATTTGAATTTTTTTGCTCAGAATAAAAAAAAGGACTAATTCCTGTAATCTAATTATGACACTTGCTACTGTCAATATACACAATATCATCTTCTGATTCTCCATGAAAAAGCACTGTTTCGACTCATAACGAAATCCTGAGCCAAAAAATGAAATAATCACTGTTTTTTCCAAATGACATACAATGATTGACTTCAGTTGCTTTTTCAGAGAAAGAAAGAATATCTAACACATATCAAAATCATCTTTATCGTTATGATTTCAAAAAATTCCTTAGGTCATAGGCCAGTCATGGCTGTGATAATATCAGAGATGAGGCATGTTACGAGTATGATAAAAGAGCTAATTTGGTGATAAAGAAAAATATGCACAATGTAATGATCGAAAAACTGAAGGATCACTTAAACTTTACAAATTTTTTGAATTGGAAATAGAAAAGTAGTCTGCTTTTTGCTATTTACAAAGTTCTTACTGATTATTAGATATAAAAAAACACTAACTTTGAGGCACTTTTACAGTTGTACAGAAGTCCATCGAACAGTTACAATATTTATTATTCAAATATACCTTTAATTTTTACCACCAATTTTCATTCTTGACCATTAATATTATTATAAGCATTTTATGGTCACAACAAATTTGATTTCACAACCAGTTTTTTTGCATATTTTTAAAAATTTAGTTCAATAATATTTGAACAAAATTTTTCTACTTTTTGCATCAGCAATAAAGAGTTCATTCGATCTACTAAAAGGAGCAAACAAAGTTTAAAATATGCAAATTATCTGCGATATGGTTTCTGGTAAATTTTGCAATTTTCAACATTTGCTTTCCTGCAGTAATAAATCCATCGATTTATTACTTAAAATATGTTTCACAGCAATGAGAAGTAATTTAAAAAATAGAATAAAATAATTGACATGATCCTGCTGGTCACTATTTGCAGAACGCAACTATAGTGACCACTTAATTTTCTACTGCGCTGCATTACGATAGTAGCGACAGACGATGATAAGTGTAGAAATACAAACAACTACACTAACAGTGCAGAGAGATAGCTTCGAGACCATGTTCAATGTAGTGCCTGAATAGCAAGCAAATTAATACACGATATTAGCAATTGGATATGCTAAAAAACAGTTCATCGCTAAGTAAGACTATTTCCAGGCAGGTTCCATCGTTAGAATTAACTCGAAGACTTTTATAATTATTTGTGCAGAATACGAATTTTAAACTTAGTCTTAATGATAGTTTCATCAATAAAGTTTAGTTTATAAAGTTCAAGCAATCACGCAGGTTTACCTCTACAACTCGCATCAGATAAACAAGCAATACAATAAAATACGATTGAAACAATGTTCAGTGGTATTAAAATTGCCTGCAATTGGAGAACTTGTTTACTGCTTATCATTGCTAGTTCATATTAGATCTAACAAAGTTCATTCTCAAATTCAATCATAAATCTTCCGTGAATAGTCCCTGCTTTTTACTCATAGTCAACCACACTGCCAAATATTTCCGCTATTCGGAGTTCAAATTGTTTTTTGAGTATAACTTAACTGTTACTGGAATTTTGAATATAACTTAATTGTTACTGGAATCCTTTTCTCTTGAAAATGTACTAAATACTCAACAACCGAACACAACTTTCCTTACTTTTTTATTATTTTAACAAAATTTATATGAGTAAAAAGCATGGACTATTCCTTATCTGAGATATATCATAAAACTTCTATTGAAATTACAAAAATTATGATTAAGAAAATTAACTAACAAAGCAGATCAATAATGGCAATAAAAGGCATCTGTTATCCAAGCAAACAGCAATAAATCCAAGAACTGCTGCACCCAGGAAAAATACCGGTAATCCCACATCCAATATTTTATCAACAACATTACTGCTTCTATTGTAATTTTTTACACTATTGTGTACGTGCAGGACCCCAAACAATAGTGAAATAGTCACTACCACGTACATCCATAACTTCAATACGTCAGTCATATTTACTATTTATTTTGCTGCTCAATTTCAATTCACATTATATAGAAAATCAATTGAGTGAAAAACCTGAAGTCATTTGCTAAGTATTTTAATACTGAACTAGACCTAAAACCATATATTACGATATTTACGACCTACTGCTACTTCAATTGTTTCCTAATAAATTTTTACCCCGCTACGTAACCTATCATTTGAACTGTAAACTTCACTTCCAATCTTGCATAATGTTAAGTCTTGAATGATACGATTACAGAAACTGGAAATATTCGAGATAAAGTTAACTATTACATCCACACACCAAATCTAGAGTATGTCATTTAATCTAAATTATTACCTTTATATTGCATCCCAAGAATGTATTTTCATTAGCCATTTCTGTAAAGAAACTAATTCTTATGAAATTCTACTTGAAATAAATCAGTACGTAATAAAATAATATAAATTAATCGTAGAATATGAAATAGAATAAAAGTGAACGAGTGTAATAAACTTGAAAGAAGTCTGCCTTTAAAATTCTGAATGTAAACAAACAAACCAACCAGCACTGTTCGTCTAACATAAAATGAATGAAACGACATGATTTGACTTATTCAAGCAATAAATAATTTAATTTTCAGAATAATATGCATAAGAATTTCATAATAAATTCTACTAAATGAATTATGTTGGTCCTTTATACTCGCCTACTATATATTGAACACTGTTACAGATGTGAGAATATTAAAGTGCGTAAGGAAGTTGATTTCATGAGTGTCTGCTTGATGACCAGAAAATCTAGATAAACAAATTATCATTACCACTTATTCGATATTTCTGGTAGATCTTAGCTAAGTTCATTCAAGTTCAAAAAATCAAATCTAACTCACGCTACAATTAGGGATATCCAAATCTTTAAATGATGCCGACATAATCAATCACATCACATAACAGTTGCTAAATTACTAATAATAACAAAACACACAAAATGAGAGCAAGCAAAGCAAATTTACGACATTTTTGATGCAAATCGTTCAGCCGCTGCTTTCAACTTTCTCTGCAGTTCACTGGTTTTCACTAAAGATAGTGGTGTTTGCTTTTCCTGAAAAACTGATATACATTTGAAAATGCTTAAATTTTCTGATTACGGACACATTTATCATGGCAAAAACAATTACTTACCGGTACTTTGTAATTGGCCTTGTTAAAACTTTAAATGAATCTAAGCAGTAGTGAAATTTAAAACAAATACTGGAGTACCTTATTTTCTAAATGCAGATCGGCTCCGTTCTCTACTAGCATTATAGCAATATCTTCTCTATTTTCTTCCACCGCCAAATGTCTAAATTTACTTGATGTCCTATTCAACCACAAAAAAATTAAATTGACAGTCAAAATTGAACAATAAAAATAATGATCAAGTAAAAATATCACATTAAAAACCAATTTCTCATTCAGAAGAAACAATTAGGAACTTTTGCTCTTCATCAACATACAAAAGATTAAGAAGCAATTTGTAGTATGAAAAAACAATGCCTTTTAAAATAAAAACAAATAAGTAAAATGAAGTGACGAATGTTTTATTCTTGCTGTTTAGTTTGGTAAAAGTAAAACAATGAATTAATTCAAAAGAAAATACAGTACAAATCAAACTTACAGTGGCGTGCAGCCAGCAGAATCAGCAATATTAATTCTTAACTGCGGTTCCGCCAATAAAATTGGCACGATCTTAAAGAAATTTTTTGAAAATTTAAAATATACTTTAATATTTTAATCCAGAATTCTAATTAAGAAATTGCAGGCAAATCAAGGTAAGAAATACGACTGTCAATTTACCAATTCTGATCATAAACAATAATAAGCTGTAATGAATAAACAACCTTTTCATGGCCTTGTGAGGTAGCTCGATGTAAAGGTGTGGCGAAATAATTATCTTGAGCATTTATGTTTGCACCATGTTTCAACAAAATCGATGTTATCTGCAGTATACAAGACAGAAATTTGAGTGTAAAAGTAAAAGCAGAACATGTCAAAAAACTTGATTACGACTTATGACTCTACTTTGTGTTTATTTTAGAGTTAAAAAAAACTAGAAGTACTATTCCTTCGTGTTCTTCACTATTACATACAGATTTAAGATTTTGAATAAAACGGTGTCAGTTCAGTTCAAGCATATATCTGCATTCAAAATTCTAAATCATGCATGATTATTGCATAAAATCAATACCTGTGGTCTATTTTTGCTAGCAGCATAATGTAGGGGTGTTTGTTTGTTGTTATTTTGCGTGTTAACATTTACTGAAGAAAGACTGATCAGGTATCGAACAACTTCTAGTCGTCCTGCTGAACAAGCGATCATTAGTGGTGTCCAACCAGTCTGCAAATCAACGTTTAGTTTAACTTAATGATGATGAATGTTGACAGATTTATGCAAGAACCTGATTTTAATTTTTTAAGCATTGACTTTTCGACTATAATTTACTCAAACTAAAATTTAGCTTCACATCTGCAATAACTTTAAATGCTGATCTATGGTAATATAAAAAGTGAGACAACATAATAAAATTTAGAATTTAAGTCACTTTACAGACTCACATCATCTGATGTTACAGCATCGTCTTCTCTCTGTGACACACAGAATTGTACGATTTCTAAACAGCCACCACTTGCTGCCCAATGAATTGCTGTTCGACCACACTAAAAACATGCAGAAATATGCACGGAAAACTACTTTTAATTCTTAAACCCACACAAATATTAAATTAGAATGAACTTTTCCAAAAGTCATTTCCACTAACAATGTTTTCCTTGTTGGTTTGTATGAAGTAAATTAATAAAATAAACCAGTCAGAAAATCACTAACATCGTCCTTCACGGTTCTCAAAGAATCGTATTTTTGTAATAGACGTTTCGCACCTTCAGCATTATTATGGCGCAATAAATCAATAAACTCTGTACGAACTGCATCAAAAGTCTTTACAGGCTTTTCGTCCATTGATCCTATTACAGGAGAAATAAACATATAGTAAAAATTTAACTTACGAATCTTTTATAAACATCTTTTGTAGTTAAATTCAGTACTTTCTACGGAATAAAATTTTTAATTTAGGTGGATAAACAATTAATTATAAAACTGGTATAATGACTAACTATGGCGAATGGAATCGATATGTTACTGAGTAGCGATCAAGGAAAGAAATTAGAAAAACAAACAAACAAGTAACTCTTTCTTCAAGTATGAAAGGTTGATTTATTTTTATAATTGTTAACTGGTCAAAATATCACATTATTGTCATGGTGAAACACATGGAAAATTATTTACGAAGTTCAAAAAACAATTGAAAATACTCGTTTTCTTAATATATACAGGATAACAACAACGTATAATAACAAAGCAAAGGTTATTAAAACTTTATCTGTGCACTCTCTACGACTATATTTCGATATTAACTTTCCACCACTCTGAAAAAAGGCAAAAGTTAGCTAAAACGAAACAAATTCAATCTAATAAATATAGACTTCATAAATAAATGCTACATCGCTGATTACTGCAAAAAATAATATAAATTAAAAACTGATGCACCCATTATTTGTATTGCAATTTAGAACTGAAAGTGATTACTTGTATGTGGGCACCCATTGATGAGTATTCGGATTCCGTATCTTTAAGAAGATAAGATGAATGAATCAAAGCCGAAGTAGTATCTTCAGATAACTTTAGTTGATCACTCATTTTTGCCACTAAAGATGTGAGGCCTTCCGTCGTCTGGAAATTAAATAAACAACTAGCCGCGGATATAAAGGCTAGATTTTATAGGCAAGAGTCAGCAATTTCAAAAACAGTAGGACGAAATAAAGCAAAAAAAGTAAATATTTAAGCGAAAAACTGAAAGCTGTAGTTGCTTTCAAAATTTTTTAACTTTTGCAAAAAGTCTAATTAAATATTGAGCAAATTTTCGTGTTCCAATGTTATTTAATGGATGATAAAATTTAAAAGAAGAGGGCTTACTTTCAATGCATGTGTTTTCATATTATCAGATCGCTTTTTCCGACTTTTAAACTCAATATATTGTTGGTCATCAGTACTTTGGAATAAGTAGCTGCGTGACTGCTCTTCTGAAAAAATTTCTGCTTAATGACTTTGATAAAGTAACTACCCCAGATAAAACTTTTAATTAGATAAACATGCTAATATCCAACTCATTTTGGAATGAATAAAAAAGCTAGTTCTAGAATAATCTTTAAAATAACTTACCCATAACTTTAATCGTTTTTAAAATTGCTTGACGAAGTACCTGACGATTTCTTTCTAATTCATTGCGATGCTCCTTCACTTGATCTGATAATTCAGATCGATCATTCCGGGAGTTCATCTAAATTTATTGTCCAGATAATGGTGATGTTAAAAACAAAATCTTCGTAATTACTAAAAATAATTACTACAACACATTCGAAATTACTTTATTTGCAAATTTCTCTAGAGCATCAATTAATCGGGAGAGTTTGCCCATTTCATCTTTGATTTGACGTATGCATTGATTTACTTCTTTCTGAGATATAAATTTTCGTCGCCTAAAAATAATAATCTGGAAACTATAGTAAAAACAAGACATCAAATTGTCAACTGAATGAATCTAAATGTTGTAAACAATCTGTTTGGACAGAATTATTTCTCCGTAATGGAGACAATCAACACAAAAGCATAATTATTGCAGTCGACTAAAGACAAAAATTAGTTCCATGGATATGACTTGACATAAATTTCTCGAAGCATGTATTCGATGAAAGAAATTTTAAACCCACAATATGAGAAACCTATGTTTAAACGATAAGAGAAATAAAATAGAGAAACTCGCCTAAGGTCTTCGATTTGATTTTTAATCGCAATATCAGCTTTGAGGATATCCTCTTGACAGACTTGCAACTGGACAAGATTTAAATTTTGCATCAGTCTAAACACTCACAATACTCTGAAAACCATCCACAAGTTAATCCTATTTTTCCAATACTTTGAAATTATTAATTTCAATACTTGTAATCTCTGAATATCTTCCATAAATAGACAATTCAAAATATTCATTTTTTTATCAGTTGATTCCGCAATGTCATTATCCACATAAGTCCAATTTCCGACGGAAATAAAACGATAAGTATAAAATTGATGACAAATATAGATATTCACAGCATACAGCAAAAGGACACTGCTATTATAGAAATATATATTTTCGTTTATTTGTAGAAACTCTAGTCCTTACAACTGAAATTTAACTAATAACAAAGCAATAACATTTCTAATTTATTTTTAATGAGATTACTAAATCACACTTTGTAGCCATACTGCCTCATGCATCTCTTGTGAGCTTCTATAAGTTCTCCACAGTGCTCTTCTCCAAATAAAATGACGCATTCATCTCTAGCCTGTAAGTAATCAAAGTTTAAATTCATATAAATCTTATGAATAAAGTAATTAAGCAAAATTATATCAACATGATTTTTCAACGTGAACATTACGAACATAGATCCTAACAAAATAGCATTTAGTGGTCATTCAACAGAGCATCATAAATGACCAAATTCTGACAAGAAACAACTTCTACATCCTGAAAAAAAAATCCTAACGAGTTTACTTTTTTAGTTTCTGGGCATGCACAACAAGGTTTAGGTTTCTTATTATTGTCCAGGGTCGATATCGAACAATCTTTATCATCACTCATCTGCAAAAACTTAGTATAGGTACACGAAAGAACTATGCTCCACATTTCAAATCGAAATCATTATGACGAAGCAAATATCGCGCACTATCACTTCAACACAAAACTTAAAAGCTAGCTTAAATACGAAGTTTTTCGAACTGCAACAGGTTCTTGTTCTAGGAATTTCTATCACATTTGCTCCCTACTATCAGTGGATTCAAAATTAAGGGGGTTATTATGCAGCAAACTATTTGTACAGTAAAAGCATCTCTCAATAAAAAATGATCTCATGAAATATTTATTTATTCACTGGCTCAGACACAAATGTAATACAATGAAATGAACATCTAGGATACAATAAAACGAAATTTTAAAAGCATTCAAAACATCATTCAGCAGAAGTTGAAACAAGTATGAAAATTAGGAATCAGTTTAAAGAAAACTGCAGAACGACAGTAAAATCAATAGGTAAATAATCAAATCAGATGATGTGAAATTGAATGAATCGGAAAATACTAACACATTTAAGAACATACTCATTCCGAATCATTGGACTAACACCGATCAAGTATTGAACTGTTCTATTCCAGTGAAAAAATAAATTGATCATGAGAATTTTTTACTAGCACACAGTAGGGAATTCCATGAAAAATCTGTTCATTTCATTTAAATCAATAGATCAATCCATCTAACATAACCTTATATGCAAAATTTTGAAGAAAAAAGAGTTGTTAAAGTATAACTCACTCGGAGGTGCTGTCTGAACAAAAAGCAGTATGAATACCACTGAACACTCAATAAACATCCAGTATCCTACATCTTCGATAAACCAAAAATTTCATAGAATTTTTCTGAACCCAAGTATTTTGGATACTTATTTCTGAAATTGAAACTTAGGTCTCTTCACAAAAGAACTTTGACAACTCAGTGAGGCAGTGAAGCGCTGAGAATGCTATCATGAATTCACCAACTTTTTAGCCATAAATAGTTAAAAAGCTAGGTAAAACCATGCTGCTAATGTTCTGTGAATACCAAACATAATTCATAACATTTTGAAAAAAAAAGGATTTTCAAAATTTTTTGTAAAAGTCAATATTACCAAAACATCATATATTTTTATGATACTGAAAGACAATTAGGTACTTTGATGAAACCAAAGATAAATCTTATGAATTCAAAAATTTCAATTTTCCCGAACTATATCAATTCACACTTAAACCAGTTACCTACAGAGCAAAAAGAAGCAGCTTTTTTGCCAAGAATAGAAGAAAACTATTTGAGACAATGTGAATACCAAACATAATTCATAACATTTTGAAAAAAAAATGATTTTTAAAATTTTTTGTAAAAATCGTAGATGGAACCAAACAAGACATGATGGAAGGCAACTATAGAAAAAACAGATGAAGTGGACTTGTGCAAAAGCCGTCCCATGTCTTACAGAACAAAGTGTTAACCGAAAACGTAGTCTGTGGCTTTCGATAAATCCCACGAACTGCAACTTAATGCCGAGATAGCTTCATCCTAAAAGCAAATACAGTGATAGAAAACATTAAGCAAAAGTTATGTATGTTTAAATACCAAAAATTCAACCTGCTTAACACCCATGTCTTTAAGTTTGTCTACTTTATTCCACAGCTCATCATCACGAATTCCTTCCGCTTTAGCATAACATTGGGACCAAAATCTGGCTGTGCGCTAAATGAATCAATAATAAAAAGAGAAAAGAAAAATAACAGTTTTTAAATGTTCCTCACATGAAAAGTATCAATTTAGGTATCAAAAGTAAGGGGTTTGCATATAATTTAGTTTATATACTAATAAAAAATTGTCTTACCTTATAAAGATCTATATTCTCCATATACTGCTTGGCAACAACAGCATCTTGCGGATCAGTTGGCTCCGGTGAACCCAGTAATGCTTGTATACTAAGCAATACAGTGCGCAAAGTTAGAGAAGCAGCCCTATGGTTCAAAAAATAGTCACAAACTAAGAAAACTACATACTTGATAAGACTTTTTGAGACATAAATACTGGAAAGACTGAAAGAATAGATGTGTCAAAAAAAAATAGTAAGATACTTTACCACTGCTCTTTCAAAATATCTAAGCAAATTGCACCAGTTTGCGAACTTATATTGGGATGCCAAAGTTTAGTGACAAATTTGCACTAAAAAATAAAATCACATTATGATTCGAATGATAGATGCATTAAAATTAAGTATTTTAGTGACAAACTTTATGCTATCTTTAGCTTCTCATATCTTTAAAAAGGTCACAGTATCTGAAGAAATTAATATCTTGTTGCTTACGGTGGGTGGCTGAAAAGGATAGTCTTCCGGAATGGTCATGTCCAATGCAAACGTGCCACCCTCATACGGGCTATCTGGAGGGCCGCGTATCAAACCACGAATGCATAGTAGCGAATCATCCCTGATCTCAATCATTACACCACTCTCCGCTAACTAAAGACTAATTTGAAATACCATACTCATGTGTTCTTTTAGTGAAAAAAGCAAAAATTCATTTTTTTAAACAGAAAAAGGATAAAGATTCAAAGCTCTTCAATTACTTTATCTTCATCTCATCTCCTAGCTTGACCTTCTGTGAATGAGGTCAACGTGAAAGTTTATGGTTCAAAGACGTATAGTTCATAAGCGGCAAACAGTAAAGAAGCAAAAAAAGTCCCATATTTCTGACATTCAACGTTTACATTGAAACGTAACGACTGTCTACGAATGCAGACGTACAAATAATTCTACTTTATAAAACAAATCCGAAGTTTAGCATTAAAAACAAATCCGGACATTGGCATTAATGGGCAAGAAAAGTTTCTTAGGACCAACATAAAAAATAAGTAATCCATAAGACATTTAAAAAAACAAACTTCATGACTGGTAATAAATTCTTTGCATTCCCGTTGCACGCGTGAAAAAGCAATATTTGAGGACATTGTGATGATTGTAATAACTTAAATCATCATAAAAATTGAAAAACTAATCAATTAATTAATGCAAAGGAACACTATCTTGCAATTCTTGATCAAGTTTCAAAATACTTTAACTAAAGGAAATCAACCTACTGTATTAAAATGATTACGAAGCTCTAACTAAAAAAGTTTGGCACTGAGACAGCATTTTCATAAATTAACGATTATTTCTCAGATGCAATCTATCTAACAAACACAATCTTTACTGGCCGTAATAAGTTCGTTAAATATTGCAACAGTCAGGGTCATATGCTGTTTTTGTCGAATGATTTGTGCATTATAAATGAACATATTCGTTACTTCAAGGGTGGACTTAATGGTCTTGCTGTGAATTAAATTGAACTAGATTTTATGTTATGTAGACTTTTTTCAGAGTGAAATGAGTAAGTCTTCGAACAAGAAAAAGTTAACTGAGACCAACAATAGTAAAAAAGCAGATTTTTTTTTTCCTATTTGGTCGAAATTGAAAACCTTCGGCATTATACTTCTTGGTTCGTGTTTATATTTATTGAGTATTATAGTGATTATACTATTAATTATAAAACAATGTAATAATTATTTTTTCTGCACTTGAAAAAATACTATCAATAAAATGTTTATTGTAAGTATTTAAAATAATAATTAAGCAGTCTTAATAAAACAAACTGTGTTGAAACTTTGTTTTAATTATTATTTGTCATACAAAAAGCACAGTTTGACCGCATTTAAATTGTGAGAATTTAAAACTTTGTTCGAATTTACAATTCAAAAAGATTGTATCTAAATGAGAAAATCCTAATTTATGCCTTTGTTTTCCTCTGATAATTTCTTTTTCATTCCTGTAAATATTTTACACTGTTCTTGTTTATCAGTATTTTACTAATATGAATTAGACGTGGCACACGCATTTTGTTTTCCTTCATTTTTATATGCTTCGCATTGATGTCTACAGCATCCAACATTTTTCTTCATTGTTTTAGACTCGAGAATTGATGCTTTTATAAAAAGGTTGTGAATCCAGGCATTCATGTAGCAAAGATGAAAACATGCATATTTTCACTTTTTATTTGTTTTACAAAGTCTTGTAATTTTCGTTCATCAATTATTGTGAATTCTTTTTCTGCTACCTCCTTGAAGACTAATATTTTACAACATCTGATATTTCTTTTTATTTTACAACAATGTTGTTTTTGGTTGATTAGAATTATCGAAAACAAGTTTGGTACTCAGAGGAAACTGTTACTGATTACATGCGCAAGGAATATCTTTAAATATCCATTATTAAAATTATCATTAATACTATGGCATATTTTCACAAATTATCACCGACAGCCTTCAAGATCACGGCAGTTTCAACATTAAATGTCATACCTGAAAATGTAATTTTTCGACATTACGTGATGGGATAAAAACCAGATGTCAGTATTTTCTGTGAAGCAATATATTTTACGAAAAAAGTTTTTTTTCTAAACTTACAGTTTCATATTTCTTTCTTTTACATAATCCTTTTTAGTTTCTAGCTTCTAGAAAGGGATTCAGAAAAATTATGTAAATTGAATCGTGGAAATTATCCTATTCCTTATTTTGTATGGCAAAAAGTTTTGCGCTAACTATAGATTATAAAATCATACTTTCTCTTTGTATTTTTGCTGATAGGATTATAGCATCCAGCAAAAGTCCTATTCATTCTTCGGAAAAATAATTTAATTTCCTGAAATTCTTGATGTCAAAATATTTGCCTAACTCTTAGTGAATGTTAATTGAATGAAAGTTCAAAAAATTGATGGCTTTGTTTTTGTTTAAAAGTACTCAAAACCAACAACCTGTTGTTTTGAAAGACATGTTTTCTCGATGTTATCTCGATAGAAATCCTTGATTTTATCTGTTTGCTCAAGCCTTCGTAATTTATCCATTGCTCTGTAGTGTTATCTTTCTTGTGTATGCAAAGTAATACATAACTTTTGTTGTATAATATCTTGTACGTATTTACTGTAAAAACTTTCTGTACTGCTTATTTTGATTTGAAATTACTTAAAATTTTGTGAATATTGCAGTAACCTTCGTTGTGCTTGGCTTAATCGACGGTTGATTTCTTTGAGTGCTTCAGGAACATCGTTTTCTTTATTCCATTTGTCATATTCAATGTAGCTGTCCAAATTATTGCCTAATTTTTTTCTGATAAAATCATTGATAAGCTTGAGATCATTAGTATCACTGGCCTGTTGTAAGCGCTCCATCTCCTGCGCATTGCAATGGTCCAGCACTTCTCGAACACATTTTGGCTCATTTGCATAACACTCATGTACATCAATATTTTTTCTGCAAATGATAAACTTGTGCCATTTATTACTCTCAATCTTTGTTATGTATAATATTTTTAGAAAAACAGTGCCTTTCGTCAATTTTATTTTAGCACTGATTAAAGCTATGTTAATTAACTCACAGCACTGTTTCTCCTACTTGAAACTATTTCACTTTCAAATGCAGTAGTGATTGCAAGATAGAATTTTTCGAAATCATTGCCTTTAATTGAACTCATTTTCAAGGAATGCTTGACAAACTAAAGTTTGTTTTGAAACTTTTTTTTTAGTAAAACTTACTCAAATAGATTTCTTATCATATTCCATAACCAGATCAAAATACTCTGCTGTGATTCTTCTTCCATCTGTTTTTCGTTGTAGTATTCTAGTATAGCATATTGATCAATTTGTGGCAGTTCTTGCGCTACTTTCGTATTCCATAAAGCACGAATAATGCTGTATATTGTGGCATTCTGTAATTTGAATCATTGAAATGTCTTTTTTTTCATGAAGGACCTCAGTAAATTTTAAATAGAATACTCATTATTTGCTAGTAGATTAATGGTATAAATACTCGGTATGCTTCAGCGTATTTTAGTTGTTCTTGGGTTAAATTGAATGGAATAGTTGTGTTGGATAGGATATTAACAACGTTTCTTTCCCAAGATTCCGGAGTTTGATCTTCAGCAGTCGAAAGCATATCATTTACTTGTAATAACTGTAATTTTTGAAATCTGATACATGCTTTGTACAAGCAGTTTTTATGAACTAATCAAAATTTCTTGCTGGACTATAAGTTATTATTGCTCACTAAATTTAGCTGACTAAAAAACTGTACTTTATCCTAGGAACTATTTTTAGCATTTATATACATGTTATGAATTACTGACAGAAAGATAGGTTTGACCTTACTTGATATCTTTTTTGATCGATCATCATTTTAAGCGATGCATAATTCTTTTCGCGCAAATATTCACTCAAGTATTCATTTTCTGTGTTACTAAGATTTACTAGGAGATAAATAATGTCAAGATTCGACAGATTGTTACTAGTACAGTTTATGGCCTTCAGTAGCCTTTCATTTCTAGAACTATTTTCAGTCGATGTGGCTTTTGTTACTGTAAAAAAAAAGATTTTGATTATTTATTTTTTTTTAAATTAATACTTTAAAGTTTACTATTTCATTTTATTCTTTTATTTGTATCATTATGACTGCATCACTCTTTGTTTTCCCAAGCAGTATTTCTTTTACCTTAGTACAGTTTTCTATACAAAATTAGACACAAAATAAACTGACAAATAAATTAGAATTTTCAGAATAAAATTTTTTTAAATGCGCAGTGATGTGATCTTTATTAAGGTACTGGCAGTGGTTGTAAGAAATGGAAACATTTTTTTATTGTGAATTGTTATTGAAATGGAAAAATCTCTATTTATGCTAGATTCAATTCATCTTACTACATTTTAAGATATCTTGTTATTATAAGTATGGAGACCAATTCTCGCTCATTATGCCATTTTTCTTAGCATTAAGTTTGATCTGAGAATCAGTCATTATCACATACAAAGATTATAAGCCATCAGCTATATTTTACTTCATTTTGATTGACCAAGGTAGTTAAAATTTTTCATTGATATATAATTGACTACAATCATAAGCAAGATTGGAATTTTACATTTCATATGAATAGGTAATTTTGAATCAAAAACTTCAGCACAATATGTCGATATTTTTTGATTTCATGTTTTATTTAAAGTTTTTGGAATCAAATGTTATTTTATATTTTTATGCCTCTTTGCTAGTGTATAGGATTTGAATTAATTTTGTAACTTTTGCAAAATTTTTTAACGTACCCCAAAGGTCAATCGTCCAGAAGACGCAAAGAAGAATAATTCCACTTTCGATTTCCATACAATGTAAGACAATACTGAAATATTCAGTGAATCAGTAATAAATTAATCATTTTCCGCGCTTTAAGTTTGTTAGTCTTATTAGCACACATCACTGTTACTGTATCAGTTACTAAATTTGAAATACTATCAGTAGTAAGCGAAGAAAAAGAGTTATAATTTCAACTTGTAGTTTTTAGATTCTTACGAACTAAGAATTGTATGAAGCGTTCTTTATGTTGAAACTTACAAATATTCTTGTTTTTACTTAGCAAAGAAGGAGGAATAAGAAACTAGGGGAGGTTTGATGTTTAAATTAATTTTAAATATAATAGCAATATGACTGTACAAGAAAACTGAATATTTTATGGTATTGGAAAAACATACCCTTTAGAACTACGATTATTTGTCATTTCTAGAAATTGTTGAGCACAAATGGCTCATATTGAACGATTTAGAAAGTAACATTTTTTTCACACCATTTTTCCAATTATTTATCTTTCATGTATTTCATTTTTGCTACTGGTAGCAAAAAATGTGCTACCATTTCATCTTACTGGACGAGTCAGATTAAAAAGTTTAAATAAACATATATAAACTTGGTTTTCTTACCTTTAACAAACATCTGCTTATTGTATTTACATTAATAACTTTCAACTCTTTCTTTTCAGCTTCTCTTCTTTAAGGTTTCCAGAAAAACCAAATGTAATCCTAAAAGTAAAAGCAATTATCAGTTGTGTATATATTTGTGCAGTATTGCTTAACAATGAAGATTACGAAAATGAATAAATGGAGAGCTTATTACAGATTATTAGTTAATGGAATGGTAATATGTTATCATAACTGCTACCTGATTTGTATTCATTCTTGATAGAGCTTTAAAATATATATAAGTGCCGAAAAGGTTGAGCAAATAACACCGTTAATGAAGATCAGAGATAAGTTGAAATGAGGGATTCTATGATATTTAAGGACTTTAACTGGGTTTTAAGTGTTTAGAAGATGATAAAAATACAGGTTGTGAAGATAGGTAGTTGTCTCAGTGGTGATTTATCATTTGCTAACCTTGACCTCCTTCTAGTTGATAATCTAATACAAAAACAGGTACAAAGTTAGAAGCTTTTATATGTGAATAGCTAATTAATATTGTTCACATGCATCACTTATTCGAAATATTTTAAGATTAAATGAGTTCAGCTACAATTATTTGGAATACACTTTGTTCATCACATTTACTTTCTCAGCCTAATAATAACAATAATAATTGTTAATTATCTCCAATTGCCTAAAATTTTCATTATTCTCTACAAAAAATACTGCAAAACAAGTATTGTACATGAAGAGTCAGTGATTGCAAAATTGTGGTATATTGAGGAAAAAGTTGTCAAAAACGAATGAATGAAACAACGTGAAGTGAGATCAACGAGATTCATCTATTTTTTGCTCATTATGTATGTTTGAAATGTAGCCATCAGTGTTCAGTTTTATGATGTAACTGTATTTCAGCAATCTTCTTGGCAGTACTGCATTATATGTACATTAGCTCTGTATTCGAAAATGACCTACATTTTTCGCATTTATCAGAATTGGAACGTGAAATGGTTTATCGAACAGAGATGGTTAGTTGTTTTATTGACTGATCAAGAAATATTTGGATTAATGAGTAAACAGATGGATAGATCAGTGGGATTAGTTGAGAAAAATAAGTATGTAATGTGTAAAATGGTGAAAGGGATAAAAATATTGAAAAGTGGACGACCCATTGTTGCGGGGAGTAGGTAAATGTAAAGTTAAAACAAGCTCTGATTTGTAGTCGTGTTGATGAAAAAGAAAAAGAGAAAGAAATAGATTTTATTGAATTAAAGTGAACGTGGAATGAGTGAGCGAGTAGTATATATATATATAGTCATTATATATATATAATGTATTTCAAGTGAAAGGTTAAGTAAAATTAAGGCTTTTATCATTTTTGAAACGAAAAGGTCTTTTTACATGCTCTAAATAAGACGACAGTTAATATGAGAATATCAGAAGAGTAATTAATTAATCGAGCGTTTCGTAACGATGTTCAGAAGCGCTGTAGTGAATAAGCAAATAAATGATTACTCATTGGAATAGCATGGAACATTAGCATGATTACTTATTAGAAAAAAAAAGTTCAAAATTGTTGTCGTTACTCTTAAAACGGATAAGCGTGAAAGTGATCCTCAAAGGTAATGACTACAGCGGTGTCACGTATGAATAGATGGAGACGTGTTGAATGCGAGCATTTCTAATTTTTCTAGTTAAAAGTGTGTGTAGTATTTGTCGTTTATATTTTAAAATTATGCGTCATCTTATACCAAAAAAGGGACAAGATTGCATGAAAAAAACGCAATTAATAAAGAAATTACTTCATCACGTCTTACTTACTATGTCGGCTTTTGCTGATAGCTGCAAGTGAATGTTTTTCTGCTGAGAGTACCAAAAATGTGCGCAAATCACACATGTCAGCAGTGTTTTAGTCATTAGTAGTGAACACAGCAAGTAAGTAAGGAAATGAGCTTAAAGAAATATTTGAAGACGTGTGTGTAGAGATGATATTTTGAGCAAAGAGGAATGAATGAATGCATGCGTCTTGCTGAAAATATAATATTTCAGCATAAAAGGAATAGGGAATGTATGAACAGAAAGGAATCAGTTTACTTTTTACAAACTTGTTTTGAATCACTCTTCTCAGGAAACATTTTGAATCGCTTCTCCAAAGTTTTATTTTTACAACTAATCGATAGAACGACGGAGGTTTACTTTCTCTTTTTGTACAAAGTAAACTGATACTTTTTTGATTTTGCTTTTTGCTTAGATGAAGAAGCAATATGCATACATTTATTTATGTAAACAGAGCATTACAATGCAGACAAAAAAGCGTTGAGTTTTATGACAAACGGCTATTGAGGAGCATTATTGACATCAGAGGAAAAATAAACATTACTAAAGTAATGCTATTAACGTCGGTATTTTTTATTCTATCCAATGTTAATTATTGTTTATACAGTTTATACTAAGTATGAAATATAGTGATAATATTGTACCATGAATAAGTGACAAATAATGCTGGTAATAAGGATAGGATGGTGTAGATGGATGGAGAAACTGAATGAAATTTTGTTGAGGTTTGAATTGCTATCAGCGAATTAACGAGACAGTGGCAGTTATTTGTCAGTGTTTGAAAGAAAAAGGCCATAAAAAATATGCTTTGGTAGGTGAGAGCAAAAGCACGAATATTTTCATGTTCTCTTTTCTTCTCGTACGTGTGCAGTATGATTGTTGTTATTACTTTCATTACAATTGCTATTATTATTATTATTATTATTATTATTATTATTATTATTGTTATTTATTGTAGTCTGTATTGTTTACATCTCGAAGGCATAGCAATCAGCTGACTAAATTGGAGTATTGTGTATTTGTTGTGGAAGAAGAAAAGAGGGGATCAATAGAGGCTTGTTTTTGTGTGTGCTGGCATTGATGAAGAAGGAAGGCATGGTTCAAACTTGTCTTCTGTGCTACTACCTACATAGATAATTTAAAAAATAGAATGATAGAGGGTAGCGTGGTGCATTTGCCTATAAATTCGCATAGCATTATTGTTATCATGAAGAGATTTGCCAATAACATCAATTATTTGTTTATATATTTATTTGAAGATTTTCCTTTTATGGCATTATTCAAAATGTTATGGGAGAGAATGCTGTTGTTAGTAGTAATATATCAAAATATAGGAGTGGTAGTGGTAGTTGTAGTGGTAGTAATTGTGGTAGTGGTAGTGGTGAGGAGTAAAATAATTGTCATCATTATCTTGTTCATTATTCATCTTCCGATAATGAGACAAAAAAAAGACAAACAAAAATAGCAACTTTGATACTTTCATAGAGATAGAAGAGTGTGCTGTGGTATGGAAGACATTATTATGAATTTGTTGTGATTGAGTAAACAAGTTATGGTTTGGTATTAGTTGTAGTAGTTGTTTTGATGGTTAAGTACTTGATGTCAGTCAGTCATGCATTTTCTTTCTTTTTTCTATTTCTAGAAATCAGGCTAAGTTGTTAACGAATAATTACTAATGCTTATTGGCAGCAATGAACTGCAGAAATTCACTCATGTGCATGCATATCCATGCTGAATAACTCTTGACACCACACTTCAATTAGTTATATTTCTTATCTGATCTGACATAAATATTGATAGCGATGTAATCAAGAGTGGAGGAAAAGTGATAGAATGAATCGAGCATGCAAAGTAGAAAGAATCTAATAAGGCAAAGGCAAAAGCAAAAATGGATTACTTTCCTAAGGGATAGGCAGTATGGTATACTGTTTTAATACGTCATCATAAACAGATGTGTGCTTGCTAAATACTTGACAGGATAATTAATTATCTGTAGAAATGAAAAGCATTGCAATTTATGTGATGGACAATAGTTGCATACTTGCTTACAAGGCAGTGAGTAACTAGAAAAATCATTGCTATGGGATTTAAACAATTATTGCAATGTGTGGTTGGTTGCGGAGATGAAATTGATAGCACTGAGATGTAAATGAAAATGAAAATGAAACTTATTGCTCTGACAAGGCCGAAAAACGAGAGTCACTCGTTGTGCATCAATAATTCATTTGTGCTGCAAAAAATAACTTCTCTTTTTCAATGGCTGATTGAAAGAAATAGTAGTGAAGAGGGGAAAAGCCAAACAAAGCAGACAGCAGTATGCATTATTGTTTGCTAAGTATTATCATCTAAGCATTATGCATTATTTGTGTGTTGAAGTGGCATGAGAAAGAAGTAGAGTTTAGATGCAAATTTCAGCTTCTCTGAGATTACAGTAGAATTCAGCACTTAGGAAGCGAAACCAGCCATCTTCACTTTTAAATAATTCCTAAGTATGAAAGCAATAAGTGTAAAAAGAATGTATGCTTGCTTCTGTCAGTTTTCAATGAAGATACAAGAAGCAAAAAAATGAGTTTATTAATATTGTCATTATTATTATTATTATTATCATTATTATTGTTTATAATTTATTCGAGAATTGCATTCATAATTACCTTACTAACTTGATTTCCTTTTTGCCTTTCTATTCCAATTTTATGCGTATATGAAGAGATAAAATCCAAAATATTTGCCCGTTATCAATATTTAAAAGGAAAATTTTGTATTTATAATATGAATAGTAGCTTTTGAAATAAGGCTCAACACTGTGGTTACATTATTCTCTTAGTAATAAGCGTTTTGGTGTTTTTGAAGAAATGGACTAAATGCTAATGAAATTAGAAAGATTCATTGATTGAAGTCAATTAAAATCTTTGAACAGTTTTTAGTCTAAGAAAACAATTATTCTTCTAAATAGGAGTATTTTGACAAATGGACTCACCTCTAAAAGGCTTCAGTAATTGGAAAGATTATTATGTTTTAAATCAATTCAATTTTTTTGCAAGATCGTTTTAATATGTGACAACTCATAACTTTATATTTTAGGGTTTGTATTATTCGTATTACAAAAAATTGGTTCGTGAGAAGTCTTTTCTACAAGGACTGAAACAAATAACTAATGACAATGAGACAGAGTATGGTCATACGATTAATTCATTGAAGCGTTTCAACATTTATCCGGAGGTGATTAATTAAGAGACTATTGTAAATCAATTCGTTTTAGTTTTTCAAATTTGGTCTGTTAATTTTTTACCATACACTTTTTGAATGAATCATACGGATTATAGCGTGATTTTGATCCTGAATTCATTATTTTTTTTTCAGGTATTTATAGCGATAGCTTTCAAGTATTTCAGAAATATAGCTGATAAAACTAATTGGGTTGTGGAACAATGCTGGCTAGTTAATCGAGGTGAATCATATTCTTCAGTAACTAGTTGTGACGGTAAATTCTTGTCTCATTTTACTGTTTTTCAATTTTTAAGTTTCAGCTATATACTTTTTATTTAAATTTGATAGGTAAATGCAAAAATAATTAATTGGATTGTGTTTTTACAACATTCAGTGTTTGTACTTTCATTATTTCTCTTAATCAAAATTGGATAAAAATTTTGTTTTTTAGATTATAAGAGATCAAAAACGTTGAAAAAACCAGTCTACAAATAACAATTTTTTCTTCAAGTTTCCTCATTCAGTTTTTTTTCGTTTTTTTGCAAATTGTATTGCAATAACGGAAGCATTATAGGAATAGGCAACGAGCAATACTTCTACGTCATATCGGTCTTTTCTCTGGCAAGTACTGTCGCTAGTTCCATATTTTTACTCGCATATACACTCAGGTATGATCTAATTCTTATCATAAGATTAAGAGAAATAATGAAATACACTTATTGCTATTCTTAAACTATTGCTATTGCTATTCTATTGCTATTCTTAAACTTCAAATAAGATTTGCTAATTGATTGATTGAACTGTCTTTGCATCAATTCATTTTTTTTCTAACTGTCAAAAATTTTGCAGTGAGGAGTGAGAGAATTTTATGTTATTAAAATAGATTATTCGAAATAATGCTTTGTACTAGATTTAATCGAGTTCGAAATAGCTTGAGAAAGAAAAGTATTTAATTAACATAAAGTTTCAGCGAGACTGTACTTGGTGGCTTACTTGCAGTATGTTGTTTCTTTTTCAATCACAACCAAGCTACTCGAGTTCATTGGACACCTCCTTTACGTGAATCATTTGGTTATCCTGTTTTTATAGCTCAGATGCTTACAATCACGTATATACTAAAGTAAACATTAGAAATTCTTTACATTTAACTTTGTATCCAAAATCTCTACTCTTGTAATTTTTTTATCAATTTAATATTGTTTTGATGGAAATGAATTTTTTCAGAACGATTTTGTCCTGAAAAAATAATAATGCTTTTTTTCCATCAAGGAAAGCATAGAATTTTTTGTACTGCTAGAATTTTTATTTTTATTTTTGTAGGCATTTAAAAGTTGGCTTTCGCTGGTCGCTTCTAATCGCTTTTTTTACTACTGCATTTATGATCTTTTGGCAGGTATAGTTGTAAGAAAAATGTTAATTAAGGTCGGATTTTATTTTTCTTCAACTTCAAGTTTGGGAAAAAATCCACTTTAATTTCAGTTTTAATTTTTAAAAACTGCCTTGTAGTTCTCGGCATTTGCGTTAGCTACTGAAATGGGCTCACTTTTTGCAACTTTCATCCTTGATTTTATTCCAATCAAAACGATGAATACTATTGTTCGTGGACATGCAGTATGTTTTACTTAAGCAAAATATTTCCAAGATATTTTTTTTGTAAATTAGTGCAATTTTCATTTCTTCAATATATGATTTGCATTATTTTGTTTCAGATTGCGTTTCTTGCGGCTTTTATAATGCTTTTCGGTAATGAAATGCTGCTAGCATCATTCTACATGTCCACTATTGTCACTTTATTGGTATAGTGTTATCTTTAATGAATTAAATACTCAGTTTTTGTTATGTTCCAAATTCAAATTTATGATAAACATCATTTTTTAAGTAAAAGTAAAGCTTTCGTAAAGATTCAACTATTTATCGGGTCAGTATTTTCTCTGTACAAGATGAATAATAAAGTTAATTAAAAAAGTTCACCTTTATTTCAGATCATTGTGTATATGGATCGTTTTCTTTATCATATCAAGAATCGATTACTGTACATATTTCTTAATATTGTATTATTTGTTGTTGGCACAATAGGCATCAAGGTAGCTCTGAGCTTGTTGTTGCGTGTGAAGGATGACGTGAGTCACTTTATTTAAATTTTAAATGTAATATTGTTTAAAGCAAGAAGAAATGTTGACCTTGATTTTTTGAATAATCATTGTAGCAGGAATCAGTCAGAAATAATGAGCATGAAAGAATATGTCACCAAGTTAGTTAAAACTGATAATAAAAATCGTTATTTTTACATATTTCAGGCTCATATAATGGATCTTCTTCGAGCCAAGTTTACTAGTTTTGCTAATTTCCATACTCGTTTGTATACATGCACCGATGAATTTAATTTTATTGGAAAACAAGTAACAGTTGTTTGATAAATTTAGAATTTAGATTATAAATAAATAAATATATCACCTTTATATATATATATGTATATATATAGTGCTTCCCCATGTCCTTCACGGAGCTTTCTTCAACAGGCTCATCTGTTTTCGATTTGTTTTCACTTATGATTCCAGGCTCCGTTTTTTCCCGTTTATTTTTTTCTGTCTTCTTGATTCTGTTTCCTGCTTTGTAATACGATCGAATCTCTCGGTCACTCAGTAGAGTCGAACAATATTGATATATCATATATAGTATATATGTATAATCTGCTATGGAACATTATATTTATGAAGTTGTGAGTTATGAATTAAGAACGATATTTTCTTTTGAAAGGAAAAGAAATTTAATAACCGTAAAAGTTTGTTTAGATGTAAACAGTTTGGATCAATTGCAGGATTTGATGGATATTACAACAACTCTGTTATTACCATCTGCAGTTCTCTCGTTTTTTCTTGTTTTTTTATTTCTTCTACAACACGAGTCATTATTGTATCGAAATAAGATTCGTATCAAACCATGTTCAGAGGTTTCTTTTTTCATTTCAAATAGACAAATCATAAAATTTTAGTAGATCTAAACTTTGGTTTATCTCTTTTCGATTTATGTGAATTGTGATCAGAAAGCAAAGATTAAGTAATTGGTGCGGAAATATGTGTATCAGTTATTCACTGGGAAAAAGTTGCTTGCAGCAACAGTAATAATATGCCAAATATGCTTAATGTCAATTTTTTGCCTGGCTAAATATACGTTGCGCGAACTTCATTGAATTAACATTTTTAAAATAATATTCCTGCAGCAAATATTCTTTTTTCTAAAAGAAACTTTCTTTTCACTTACAGCAGTAGCACTTTCATAAATAATAGATTAAAAAACATGGTTTTTAAAAATTCTTCTATTTACTTAATTTACTTTTGAAGATCAAATTTTGTTTCAGATTGTTTACAACAGTATTCAATGTGTTTGCTTTATCATTATGGCATCGATTATTATGCGTTTGAAACTGTTCATGAACCCTCATTTATGTATTATTACGGCACTTTTGACAAATCATGAAGTAATCGAAACTATATTTTGTGATTTTCCCTAGTCGAAAATTTTAAATATCAAATATAAAGAGTTGTGATGCAAATTTTTTTAGAATTCCATATTTTGTTTTTTTCAGTTATTTATTTTTGTTGTGGATTGAATGCGATCTTGTTGATTACTAACTTATGCATAATCTGAGGAAAAATATATGATTTTGTGAGGTCGGTAATTCAAAATAACATTCCAAATGTGGGGCCAAAAATCTTGATCATTAGGTTTTTTGTTGTTTTTCGGAATTTTCCTTTAAAGGTGTAGGAGCAAAAAGGTGTCACTTTTGGGAAAGGGAATCAGAGTCACTTACTGATCTCTTACAAAATAGCTGTTTAACGTATGTTTAAGATGAAGCTGTTGTTTATGAGTTTTGACTCATAAAATTGGAAATTTATGATTTCTTTGGGTACTATTTCAGTTTGTTGCTCATGTTGTACAATCCAAAGTACCGAGATGGGTAAATCAAGTCTTGATTGTTGCATTACTCTCAGCTATGGCTTATAAAGGTAAAATGAATATTCAGAAAGTACTAGGAGTTCAAGGAGAGTATGGTAATCCATCTCAAGAAGCACTTTTTCAGTGGGTACTTGAACACACCAAATCTGGTATGTAATTTTTTTTTAATATAAACATATGTGTAGAAAGATTTTTCAAACTAATTTAGAATTATTATAGTTTTTATTTTGTTCTAGTTTCAGTATAAGAGGATTTTGATTCCCTCATCATTTTATGATTTTTTTCATGTAATAGAATTTACTAGATTCGGTTTTTGCTGGACCGATGCCTGACATGGCCAATTTGAAATTATCTACTGGAAGGCCAATTGTAAATCATCCTCATTATGAAGATGCTGGACAAAGGTTGTTCTGATCTATTAAGAAGTCTTTCATATTCATTTATTTTTCGAATACATTCTAGGAGGTACGTAAGTTATAGAGAAAATTCATGCAATGTTATTCAGTCAGTTGTGTTCATCAGTGTTTTTAATTATTTTTATTTCAGAGAACGGACGTATAAAGTATATTCAATACTTAGCCGTAAGCCCATAAAGGAAGTTTATCATACTCTGAAACAAATGGGTGTTAACTACTATATATTCAGGCCAAGGTGGTGTGACCCCTCGCATTCTTTGTTAGTTATCACTTTTAATTTTCCAATGTAAAATCTAAAATAAAACTTACTCAATGTTCTGCTTGCTGTTCGTATCCTTCTGCTGACAGTTTTTCGTTAATTTTGCATAATTGCAGGCCAAACTGCACCTTTCAAGACATATGGGATTTGGTGGATCCTGCTAATCGTAAACGTGAATCGCTTTGTAAGGTGATTATGAATGCGTTAATTGGAAAAACTAAAACTCTTCCGTTATTGAAAGTCGTTTATATGTCTCAAGAGTATGTGGTTTTCAAACTTTAGAATCGGAGGGTTTTACTTCAGCTTTTGCTGTTTTCCGTCTTCTTTTGGATGGAAGGATTTAGCATATTGTAAGCACGTTTGAAAATTTTTCTCTCTATTATGTCAGTTTCAAGTGTTTGCTTGTATTGTTACTAATTATTCATCATCGTGGTTTTCTCTTACTGCAAGTTAGTCTTGTTTACCTCCAGTGCAAGAATTTTTTGGCTTATTTAGCTCAGTTCGTCTTCCTTTTGTGAGAGGAAGTTTTCACAGTAATTATAGAACTGAAAAGATTAGTCTCATTTTTGTTATGAGATAGTTGTATTTGGCGTTTTTATATATATTACGATTTTAACGTTGATACTTATTAGTCAAGTAAATATAGTCATATTTTCGATGGATTTGTAGGAAGAGAGAATAAAAATGAAAGGCAGTGAAAATTGCTTACATAGCACAATTTACTTCGTTTTACTTTTTGTACACAAATATATATTTGTGAAGGTAGCTGTATAGAAGCTTACTTAGCTAGCTGAAGTATTTTACTTGTGATCAATAAGTGGTTGAATGATATTTCACTACACGTCCTGGTTTTATTGGCTCGGACAGTCCTCTTTACTTACATCTTATTAAGGTAGGCATTACATGAAGTCTCCTATATTTCTGTCTGTATTAACCTTCTAGTTTGAAGAAGTTACTTTTTTCTGGCGCGTAGTATTGAACCATCAAGTACATTATGATACAGTGACTTACTGTTCGGTACATGACTGTGTTACTGTATTTCATTTCTGTATGTAATGGTATATTTGGTTTGTGTAAAGGTAGGTGATTGTAAGAGCACGTGTAAGTGTTGCATGATGTGGGAGACCTTGAAAGATAGTCGGTACCTGGCTGGACAGGGTCACAGCTCCCCGCTTCAAGGTCATGGAATTATTAGGGAAAGAAGAGACTCATGCAATCATTTGTACATCACGATCACAAGCAGTAGCTACCTGTTTACTTCGTTGTTGTATTCAAGGGTGATTAAGGTTTTCTTCTTAGTATACTTATTGCATGTTTGGTTGTTAGATTCAATTATCAGACTTCAATGACTACTGCCACTGTATCATATCATGAATTACCACCGCTTACAAGTTGGGTTTCTGATTCCCAACAGCAGCAACAACACCATCAGCAGCAGATTCATAATTCACCACCAAATTCAATACCAGTTACAACTTTCATAGTACCGTCATCAACAGCAGCGTCATCATCAACTTCATCATCATCTTCACCATCATTAATGCCATTATTAAGTGATCAGCAACAAGTTCATATTTTAGCTGATCATCGCCATTCTTCACAAAACATCCCATTACTTTCGTCGCAAGAAATTTTTTGCGCTCAAGCACTTAATCATTATAGTGCAGGTGGGTGAATAATTCTTCCAGACGCTTATTATTTGCTTTTAGAAACTTACTATGTAATTATTTCTAATTTTTCAAAGATCGGAAGAGTAAAGTCCAACAATTTTTGCAGAAATTATATAAACAGTACTAATTACTTGCAAACTAAATGTGAGATTGGAAAATAAGTACATCTTACTAACTGTGATTATTTTAGAAAATTAGCACATGCAGTTGTCATATCATTTATCGCACAATGATTGTGTAATGTAATCTGCATTTTTTCTCATACTCAAAGTAATCATTTAGTTGAATGAAAAAAATATCTACTTTTCAAGCCTGCAAGGAGTGCTTACTTTGAGTATTTTCTAGTTTATTCTGTCTTTAACGTAATTTTTACTTATGTGTTTTCTGTTCGGGCTGACCTGTACTGTATTATGGAATGATCAATTTATATCACTCCTCATTATAAAATTTATTTTTAACTTTCAAAAGTAGCTGTAAAAAGTAGAATTCTTGAAATTAAAATCTTTATTGTGCATACATAATTCTCTATCTTTTTTCTAAAAATAGGTAGCATTATTTTAACACATTTTATTCAAGATGCGGTAAATTTTTGCTCAAAATTTCAGATTAATTCTGATATCTAATACTTTTATCATATTTACTAGGTCATGAATTAATATGCCAAATTCTATTTATGAATTAAGTAATACATTATTTTTATTTTATGAATTATATAGGTTTACTTTTTACAGATAATGAAATAGAGGAAGGTTTCTGGGATGGAACGTCTTCATCTTTGCTGGCTTCAAATCAGCCACCAGCAGGTGAAAGCACTGTTCAGCGATTTCATCAAATTAATTCTAGTGCAGCAAATGCAAATATAATTCACTGTGCTGCCATGCATTTATCTCCTCAACAGGTACACTTTGAATCGTGCTAATATTGAATGATATCACACCTGACAATACAGCCCTGATAATTTTGATAAATGCCGAGCATGTATGTATATAATACATATAAATATGTGAATTAAATAATAAGTATATTGTGGATTTCTTTTTATTATACTCATAATGTCTAAAAAAATTTTATACACATATATAAGCCAAGTTTAATTTCCCTTTTGCCAAGTTTAATTTTATTTTTGCACACTTCTTTTTTCAAAAACATCTATCAAAACTGCTGCTAGCTTTTATTTAATCTAACAGTTAGTCCCATTTTAATTTAAAATCAAGCAATTTTCATTTAAAATAAGCTTAAGTTGAATTTAATTCAGTTTGTATTGAATTTGAGCAGCTTGAAGTTTGGAGCGAAGGAGCGAACTTCTATAATAAAAGCATTTGCAAATTTTGGTGCTTTAAATGAAACATACTAAAAGATATTAAATTATCTTTATATTATTAGTATTTGATTGGTAGGAAATAGTTAGTTTTCGTTCGATTTATATGGAAATATTTTATAGAATTTAAATTTAAAGAACTGATAATTTGATGAGGATTCTAAATAAAATGTTGCGTCAGAAAGAAATATATCATCCATTGGTTGACCTTGAAAATCTAACAATATTTCGCTCTGCTGTCCCTTTTTATATTCATTTTGTAACGTCACTTTTAAAAAATTTTCTTTTTGTAACTTTTGTAAGCTCTAAGTTAATTTTGTTGTTTATAATAGCTAAAAAATTTTTTCAGACGAAAATTTGTCTGAATTATAATTTTGCACTAATCCTTGATATTAAACGAATCGATTTAATGTGAAATCGCTTATCGAATTTGTTCTTCTTGAACTTCGATTTTTTTTAATTATTTGTTGCGCATGTTTGCTTATTAAAAATAAAGCATAGGTTGTGATATGAAATTAATTATTATTATCGATTAAAAGCTTCAATATTATTTCCAACCATTTTTATTTGATGAGAATTAGATTAAACTGTGCAATATATCTTAATCAAATCAATTTTATCTCATATCTGAATTTGTCTTATTTTGATGCATTACTAGCAGAAAATGTTTAATCTGTTATCTTATTTGCTGTATTACGAGCTGTCATTTGTCTAATTAGTTAGTATCATTCAGAATCATGGAGAAAGCGAATATCGAAGTAAAAAACGGTCAAACAACAGTAATTGTGGTTCCATTCGTTCGCTTTCATTGCCTTCATCAAGTGGTATTTCTGCGCCAAGTGTTGCAGAGGAATTATGTTTAGTTTGTGGTGACAAAGCATCCGGGTATCACTATAATGCTCTTACCTGTGAAGGATGCAAAGGTATTTATCTAATTTCCTTCTTATTGTTTCTAAACTTTGTTGCTATTTACTGCCAATCAAATCTTTTAAAGAGGAATGAATTTTTGCGAGATATAGAAGTGAATGATATTTCATATTTTTTTCTATCCAATAAGTCAGAATGTTTTAGGTTTTTTTCGGCGATCAATTACTAGAAAAGCAGTTTATCACTGTAAATACGGAGAGACATGTGATATTGATATGTACATGAGGCGCAAATGTCAACACTGTCGTTTGAAGAAATGTATGGAAATCGGAATGCGACCCGAACGTAAGCATGCTTAATTGTAGTCACAAAAATTTTCAAGAATAAGTCGTTTTTCAGCATTTCAATAAGAGCATAGCTTCTTTTGTTTTTTGAAAGCATTACTTAACAATATTTTCAAATATCGTGTCTAGCTTGATTGTTTATCAATTCAGATTATTGGCAAGTAAATATTCGGCTGAAATATTGGATTTAATTGTAATATGTTTAAGAAAATTGCCTTCTTTTTGTGTTTGTTTGAAAGAACACTATTATTACATCTGATTATGATATTCGACATAATGCTTTAAAAAAGTGCCATGGTTACCTATAAAATTACGTAGTTTGTCAAAATTTACTTTTTGTGTAAATCAGCCATAATCAAATTAAGTTCTCAAGTCAGCTGTAGCTTGAATAAAAATTTGCTAATATTAGCGGTAGCAGTGATTCTTATTTTTCTTCTTCTTATTATTATTATATTCTGAGTTTCGCTAGCAGTGCTTATTTTCTCCCGCACATTCAGGTACTCATTATTTTTTGCCAACATTGTTTATCCTTTTTCACTACTAAATTACTTGTTATTAACTTCAATCCATTTAAATGTTTTCCATCAATGGTGTGCTGTTCACTTACATTTTCTGTCAATATTAACACTAATAATATTTAAACTGCATGAAACTTGGCAACATAGGGTTCATGTTTGTATGTTTGAACGTTTTGCATGTATACTGTCTTAGTTTGCACCCGATAGGATTTCAAAAAAATTCAGGATTACGAGCTGATTCGCGAGTGCCTTTAGTTGTGATTCCGGAAGATCAATGCCGAATCAAGCGTGAAGCAAAGCAGAAGCTACGTACAGCTCAAGAACAACAGCGCAAAGCAAATTGCGTGAGTCCACAACAAGCTGTTAGTTCTTCTGAGTCACCTGATGAATGTGCTGCATTGTCCGTAGAAACTCAAGAATTGATCAAACGAATCGTGGGAATCGATCAGCAATTTGCCATGCCATCAACTGATACTCTAATGAAAATTTCGGTAGAATTAATCAAATTATTCAAATTTACTTTAAAAAAGGTCTATACAACTGTGTTTCTTGGAATTGCAGACTAAAAATCGGATTTAATTTTATATTACGAAGCAATCATTACTTTATAATCAATTATACTTAGGTAAAAATTCAAAGCATTATTTTTTAATTGTTATTTCTTGGCTCTAGAACTCAAATTGTTATATTTTGTGCTAAACTTGAATTTTAAGTCGTAATATTACAGGGATGTAATGAAGCGGGTAGCTCTTATCAACAACTTGCTGAACTCACAATTCTTAGTTTACAACTTATTCATCAATTTACAATGCATTTGCCGGGTTTCTGCAAACTTTCTGATGAGGATAAGCGTACTTTGCATAAGGTTAACAAATATTCTTAAAGTTTTAAACTAGTTCTGTTTGATTTTCCTAATTGTAATCATAGTAATTCACAACAAATTGAATTTATCTTTCATATCTTTAAAGGTCTATGTTTTTCTTTAAAATTTCCTTAGTTACTCTTACGTTCGTAAAACTAACACTTCTGTTTTGCTATCGTGCACGTAAATCCATCAAGATTGATGTAAAAATGAACCTAGGATGTGCCTTTGTTGTTTGTATTCTGATATGAATGATTATTTGTCTATGCACAAAAGATGAATTCAGTTTATTGTAAAGAATTTTGAAGATTATTTCGTTATTCCTTTTAAAAGTTCACATTCTTCTATTCAGTTTTAATTCGATCAGATTAAAAAATATATGTATATTGAGCTTTGGAATATTTTTTCAATACACTAGCTATATTTTCATTTAATGTTTATTGTTTTGGTTAACTTTTACAGACATGTAAAACAGAAGTGCTAGTTTTACGTACATCACGTTGTTACGATATGTTTGATGAAAAGGTAGTGCTTGGTAATGAAACCAAACAATGGCGTTACGATCGTGAACAGTATAGAGAATTTATTGGACCTTTGGCTGATTCCATGTTTGATTTCGCTCACTCTTTATCAAAAATGCAACTTCATCAAGCAGAATATGTTTTGCTTACTGCTATTGCTATTTTTTCAGGTAAATCTTATTTGATTGGGTTATCACCAATTAGTAAAAAAAGTATATAATAAATTTACCTTTGTTTAAAATGTACTCTTAAACTACGTTCTAAAACTGATTTTTTTTTGTTGATAAAAATGATTATTACTAAAAGTAACACTGGATTAATTTGGTTTTCAAAATTTTTTCTATAAAGTAAACGTTGATAGAAATTATAAACCTATTATTTTTTGTTAAAAGAAACAAAACACTCATTTATTTAGCAAACTGTTTTGTTTATAGACCGACCTGGTTTACAAGAACCTAAATCCGTGGAAGATATTCAAGAAGTATACACTTCTGCTCTGCAATCATATGTTGATGCTTTAAGACCTAAACAGCGGAATATTTTCAGCCGGTTATTAATGAAATTGACTGATCTTCGAAGTCTCGCTTCAGAGCAGGTACAAATGCTTGACATTATGTTTACTTCAACATTTTATTACCTGTAAACGGCAAGAAAATTATAATTAAACGAATTTCAAATAAAAAATTGGGTTTTTTTAGAGTGAAATAATTACGGGAATCAGTTCGACTAATAATGCTGTAGCTATGCCATTATCATCATCACAGCCATCATTTGATAGCAAATTTACAATTACTAAATCACAGTCCTCAATTCATGAGCAGCAGCAGCAACAACAACAGCCTCAATATTCCTTATATACTCAGGGAAATTATCAATCTTCAACATCAACTACCGATTATTAGTAAAAACAAATAAAATGTTCTGAAATGTTTCAACTCTAATGTGCTACTTAGTTTGATTTTTAAAATTTTTTTTGCTCTAATAATGTGTATACAATAGTGCTTAAAGTTTGTTTTACAAAATATTTATCATGTTCAGTATATTGATGAAAATTATAAAGTTTTCAAGTTAAATTTTCAGTCGATAACTCAGTTTTTATTAAAAAGTGTGAATGCATAAAATATGATATATTTATATATCTGTATTTTGTATGCACATTATGGAAACGTTTTTGAATAGTTGAAATTTTTGTACTTTCATCATGGGGATGTATAGCAGGGTCCTTAATATTATTGTTATTTCCTTCTTTCTATACTAACTTTGTTTCTTGGAAGAAATACTGCATTCTACAGTTAGAAGCTCAAATTTTATAAAGTAACGAGTTGTGTAATTCCAAGTAATTCATGCTACAATATTGTAGTCTGTTTCATCTAAGATAGAAAAACAATCGTGGTGAAATGAAATCAGTACCTTGCAGTAGCTTTTATTGAAATATTTGAGTTTAATGAGTGTGGTAAATAAAGTGAAAATAAGAATTCAGGAAAATATGCGCTGTGAGATTCGTGCTTTTTTTTCACATCAGACTAGATTGAATTGGTGCTTCGGAATCAAAAAATATTGACACTTTATCAAAATTATGCTCAGTAGCCTTTTACTAAGTTACCTCAAACTAGAAGCATAGTTTTCATTTTACATGAACAGGAAGGCGTTTGTGCTGGATTGAGATAGAAATCAGTCAGTTGTCTGTGCAGTAAGTTACCTTAAATTAAGATGGATAGGATTAAAATGAAGATAAAAACTTGGATATTAATTTTTGGCTTAAAAAAATTATGATTCGATGTATGAAATTGGATTAGTAAATAAATGAACTTGTACAATCACTGGATTTTTATGTCTAGAATACTAAAATGTATTAAAATTCTAGGCAAGTATATGTTTTTCATTAAGAACTGAATAATGTATTGTAATTCCAACCAAATATCAGATTTAAAGACTTGTACCTGGGTTACTAATACTTGTCAATAAAGTAATGAAAACGATTGGTTCGGTTTGATCAGATATAAATTATTATATTAAGTATTCTAAACATACTATTTAAACACCATTCAAAGATATTGAATTTGTCAACTATTTTTATGACTTGGTAACAATTTTAATAATTTCAGTTTACACAATAACTCGTTGTAGAGTAATTTCTAATTAATTGATATTAGTAATGAAAGTGATTAATCAGTTTGTCAGTAAAATACTGATGCAAAATCTTCCAAAAACAAACTAGATCAATTAATATTAGTCAGTTTTAATTATAGCAATTATTGTGTTCGTATTTATGATCCAAAAAGGTATCTCGGATTTAGAAAATGAAATATATGCAATGAAATAATACATAAACCAAGCATATACAAATTTCCCAAATTAATTAATTATTTTGTGCTATATTTTTTGACTGCAAATAGACTTAAGAATTTCTATGAATAATTTGAAAATTAATTTTCCAAATTTTCCAATAATTATGAGTTATATTTATTACTTTATGTGACATTAATAACCACCTGATTATTTCCCATCTTAATTAATTTTGCTGTACATATCAAATAATCAATTGTGGATCATCTTATAGTGATTAGGTACTTCAATTTGAACTACTGAAGCAATACAAGAACAAAAGTGAATAACATGTAAATAGTAAATACATAACAATAAATGAATTTTTGCTTGCATATTTTGAATTGTAATTTTTAAAATGATTCGAAGTATTCATAAAAATTTTTAAGTCTATTTGTAATCAGAAATATCTAATCTAAAAGTTGGTGAAAGATTTTTACTGAAATTTTGATTTATGTTTACAATTTCTGAAAATATTTTGCAACAACTTTTACTAAGTTCGATTTAATCATAGCAATCAACTGAAAATATAAGAAGCTCATCACACAAAGCAGCTTGTACTGTCAACAATAATTACAGGATTTAAGCAAATTCAATCTCACCTCATTGAAGCAATTTACTGGAAGCGTTATTGGCACTTTCAGTTTTGCATCTTTGTTAATTGCATTTGATGAGCTTTGAATTTTATTAATTAATTATTTTCTCTGTGATATTTAAATTTTACAACCGTATAGTAATGCTTGAGAATTAAAATATGCAAAGAATTATTCTTGTGAATGAAAAGAGAAGAGAGATTTCAAGGTTAAGAAGTGACAGCCCCAATTTACAACTTATTTGCCACTGTAACTAAGCATTTGCAGTGGCAGAATCTTTTTATTCTTTCTGAATAATCTTTTGATTCTTCACGTGCATTTTCAATTTACAGCAGTATTATTACGTATGTAATGTTTCTCGTTATCCTATTTTTTCATGCATATTAGATAATTGCAATAATGTGTTGCTATGGGGCCTTAAATTTATATCATATACCCTGGATTATTTTATTCTAAGTTTCCAAATTTTTAAATGTTTATTTGTTTTTATTCAAGCGATATATTTTGTTTGATCATAATAATATATTCCAGTACAAATATTTAAATGATCAAATTCTTAATTATTTGAGCCATTATTGAGTTGCTGCTATTTTTTCTCTATTTTTAAATATGGATATCATAGTGATGGAATTCGTATTACATTTGTAAATCATCTACGAAATCAGCTTTAGCTAATTCCTTTTCAATAAAACATCTCTTTGTCAGTACTTATATTTCATTAAGTTATTAATCAGCTTATTAAGTATACAACTGTGATGGATAACAAATTTTCGACAACAAAATTTGTAATTTGCATAGCATGAATACTAATTTTAGTACTGCCATGCAATAGTTTTCAAACACTATTTTAAATTTGTATTTCATAATGAAAATAAAAACTGGAAATCTTTTTTACTTGAAATCAAAGAAGAATGAGTGAAATCTTACCAGAAAAATGCGATATCTATTCATAATATTCAATCATAAATTTGAATAATCAGAAATATGCTTCATTTTTGAATAAAAGTAAAAAAAAGTTTTTGATTATTTAAAATTCAGCTGTATGAAAAGTTTTTTAAATAATGTTGCTACGTAATACAAAAAAGTTGGAATTAAGCGGGTAATTTTTCTTCCATAATTACATTTATAAGCCTATCAACTCAAAAGTAGCAAATTGCCCTTATTATCATTTTTCAGCAGCACATTTTGTGACAATTTCACTTTCATACTTTTATAATTGCTTTCAACATTATTCTAAATTTAAAATCAAAAATAAAGAATTAAAAGCAAAAAGAAATATAAAAGTGCACAAATTAAAATCTAAAATAGTAGAAAATGTAATTTTAAGTTAAAATATCATTACAAGACAAAAAATAAACAGAAGAGATTATAATGACAAAAAAATTTTTACTCATAAATTTCTATCTTTATCAGCTTATTTCAGTAGGAACTAAGAACAATTTTTAGCAAAGTAATCAGATAAGATTATTTTTTGTATTATAAATTTTTACTAAATTATCATTAAAAGATAAAAATAAGAATCGAGAAAGTTCTTAGTTTTTTTTCTCATACAGCTTTTTATCAGTGCTCGAAACAGAGAAGCAATTTTTTGAAGCATTTGAAACTGTTTCTAACATACCCAAGTTTTATTCATTTTTTCTCAGCTCATTAATTTCATCTTTTTCGAAAATGCCAAATTTTCTAATTACTAACTTTATTAAAATTACGATTTTATGCAACAATTAATAACATAATGTTAGTTTTGGTGAAAAAGATTAAAAAAATAAAAATTGGTTTCAAAAATTATAATTTTATTTAAAATAATTATTTGCAATAATAATAATAATTACTATTATTATTGCAAGTTAAATAATATATTGTTATAATTATTATTAATTCACAGTCTTTTGGTTATTAGATAGTCGTAATAAAATATTTAGATATATTAGCAAGTAGGTTTTTTAACTGGACACTTTAACGAAATCATACAATTATTCTATCAAAATGAAAAATCAACAGAATGCAAAGTCAAATAATAAGCTGACTTCTGATCAACTATTCTTTGCATAGATTTTTCGAATGATTTCCGGTAACTCTGCACAAATTCAATTTTTTTATTGTTTGTTTTTGCAATAAAAAACGATTTATTTATAAATGCTTTTCCTAAAGTATACTAACTAGTGCTGAACCAGTTTCTTTGATAAATTTATATTGAGTGAATAAAGCTTAGTATTTGAAATTGTAAATTGGAATTGAAAATTTGCAAGAATGAGCAAAAAAACATACATTTTTTTTGCTAACTAGTTTTCTACTACAAATTACATAGCAATTGCTTTCAATGCCTGTCCGAAAATAGTTTTCACGTAAGTGATACGCACGCGGAATTCATGTGCATCGCACACACATCATAAATAGTTTCATTCAAGCATACATTAGTATATGCATAATGATAGGCATTAAATTTATTTTTTATTTGCACTCAAAATATTTCAATATTTCACAGTTTTTACTTGTTAGCAGTTTATGAGACGAAAATTTGCATTAAAAAAATCAAATATTTCAACTGAATACATTTAAAAAAAAGAATCCATTTTTATATTTCTTATGTAAATAACAATTGTAATTATACTGAAAATGTTTTTCTACAAAAATTGCAATCCATGGAGTGGATTTTTATTCAACTTTTGATACCATAGCATTAATTCAACTCGGTAATCCACCTTATTTTAAGAAATTTGAAGCTTCAATGATATTACAGCTTACAAATATTACAAAAACTATCAACATTCTTTTATCTCTAGTCAGGATTATTTTACCAATACAGGTCTAATTGCCAATACAAAGTACTGTTTCTATCGTCTACTTTATTATTATTATCATAACTTATGATAAATTAACCAATTTCAATTTTCAACCTTTTAAAGTTAACATTTTCGTAGCTTAGAAAAATTTTTGGATCAAAAAAAAAAAGCTGATTGAATTTTTTGCAACTTAAATCACATTTTAT